TATATTCACACACAAAATCTCAGCAGAGGTAAAGGACTAGGACTGTTTCCATCATGCAAATATTTTTCGCGGATGAAATCTTGTAAAAAGAAAATTGTTGCACCAACTTTGTCTATCCGTCCGCGGTCTTCTAATGATAAAATGATCTACTCCACAATGATGCTGTCCTACTAATACATGTATTTTTCCTTTTATCTTCCTTTCTGGGGAAATTTTTGATGACGCAGTTGTGTGAATGACCATTATCACTTTTTTGTGTTGGTGGCTTCTCTAAGGAATATTTTGGTCTATTTTGATATATTTTGTACCCATAGTTAATGAATATGATGCAATGTGTTTTGAACAGAGATGATGTGGGATCTGAAAGAATAGAGAAAAGTGTGTAAATGAAGCAGAAAGCAAGGTGAAAGGAACTAACAACACTTTCTACCTTTTTTATGCTATGAAATGAAAGACAAATGTAAAGCATTATTTGTATGTTTGTACTATAATTTTGTATTCCCCCCTTTTTCAAATCTAGTACAGAATATGAGAAGATTCATTGGTTTTGATGGTGAACCTTGCACATAATGGCACAACTATACTATACGTAATCCAAGAATATTTTTGCTACTACTATCTGTTAATTGCCGTATGAGTATGGATAACACGTTTTCATATCTCCCCTGAAGCACCATTTGATTGGCTTTCACCATCTGCTATCTGTCTACACCCTGTGTGCTGTAAATTGTCACGCTGCTGCACTGATTTATAAGGTGGATTTTCTCTTTCTGTGTACCTTATTTGGTCGCTTTTAAGCACAAGGCACGGCGTACAGACAGCGCTCTTTTAGTTGGATCGGCGATGGAGTGACCGGGTCACGGCGGGCCGGTCACCCAGAGGTCACTAACCCGCCCTCCCGCTACCTGCGTCGGTAGTCGGTGAAATGAATTTTTCAACACATGTTTTATCGTCTTACACAAACAAAAAATATCATACGTGAACACAAGTTTGTTCTTTAGAGAAAGCAACTAAACCTCTTTATTGGTACGAAATAGCAATACCATGGCTGCTCACGTTTTTGAGTTAGATGCTCTTAAAATTTATGTCTATTTATAGTTAGTCAAAACAACAAACACATATTGAATGGCTAATAACTTATAAGCCTAACGATAAATATTTACAAAACTGCCACGCAAGACAGGAAAATGTGTTTAGAAATTGACTCCCTCAAAATTTTGTTTCCAGCACGAACATGGAACTTGTCATGAGCATGATAGCCAAAACGCTTCCCTGCATTCATGACTTCTTGTATCCAATGGATTGTGTATCCTCCTGAATAATGATATACTGACGTATCTTCAATATACAGCACCGATTTCTTTTCACAAAATGAACACGTATAGAATAAAACTATAAATTTATATAATTTTTCTTTCTAAACATATCCAGCAGCACGCAATGAGGGGGCTATTTGCAGGAGATGCGACACAAAAAATAAAACGCATTATGTCTATCTGGTTTGAGATCCTTCGTGCTCTGGCTTCCAGTTTTGAGATCTCTTGGTGGCTGCTTTCTGTGTCCTGTTCTCCTAAAAGCCCGAGAGCAAACATGTGTTGTTGTATGTGTGGAATACAGTGTTGCTATGATATGTGTGGCTTTGGGATAACTTTATGGGGAAATAGCGTCTGAATGTGGACATGTAATTGTCGATTGCTACGGAGATTTCTGGAAGTGAAAATTGTTTGACGGTTTCAGATGTGATATTGCAGTGTGAACATGGCTAAATCTTTCATTGAGAAGATTGAATATTGCTTCCAGTCCACTTGCCTCCTCAATTTTTGCAGTTTCGGGGGAGTATTTTCTTGTTTCTGTATAAATTGTGTTTGTTAGTTCCTTACATACATGGGGATGGGGGGAGGTATGCTTGGGGTGTTTTACGATGTTAGCTTGAAATGGATCTTTGTATGCAGCCACCTAAGCGGTACCGACAAAATGGAGAAGGAATTCACATTTATGCTATTGTCAAACGCACACCACATGTTCCTACTGGTGTCAACTGCTTTTTTGCGGCATGAATTGACGTGACGTAACACCATATCTCCGTTTGATAGTTGAAATCGCGGTAAAACACTTGACACAAATGTTAGCGGAATACGACTGTTCATTTTCGTCCCTCACATTAATCCCATAAACCAAGAGAATATCTCCTGCCATTGTCTTACATAATCGGGGCTTTCTGTACTTTTTTTGTTTGACAGTTAAATTTAAACGCCAACACACACGACAAAGTTCATTCAGAGACTCTATGCCTCTCATATGTGTGACTGACCCATTGCATTTTAACGATTTTTACTTAGGGACACAATTCACTAACTGATTTCCAGTCACCGCAAAGTGCTGGAAAAACAAAATTCACATCATTAGAAAATATGATTTGATGGCTATCACACCGCGCAAACAGAAATAAAGACCATCGTTCCATTCTCGAATGATTTGTAATTAAATTTGAAGAGATAACATTATTAACGGCGCTTCCGATCACATAACACTCACAATTTAAAACTGTTATTATTCCCAAACGAATCAATGAAAACTGTTGAAACTTTCACAAGATATCAAGAAGACGTAGACGAAGCGGAATTGGTGAAGAAATAGGTTCTGTGGGTAGAGGGAGCATCATTTTACGGCTCATGAAATTAGGGGAAGAAACGCGTTCTGATAAGGACAAGATAGGACAGCACTGTGCACGAGTTGACCCCGGTCAATCCCCGGCTTGACGCGTGAAATTGCAGGTCACCTGCCGCTAATTTATGGCCTACCGCGGGGGGCCCGGACTAACTAAAAGATCGCTGAGACGGAATTTCGGACGCCGTGAAGGGGGCTATCCCGAAAAATGCTGTTTTGAGAGGATCGAATGTTAAGTTCTTGGACCCTTGTTCAGTTTCTTTAAAGGACAAGGAGAGTTTTCTCTGTAACTAATAAAATATACACACCAATGAAACCAAACTTCTCCTACAGGTAAGGCAATGCCCTCTTTTGGTACAGGTCAAGATTTCTGGAAACCCCCAAAATCTGGGTTGGCCAGCTTGTCCTTAAAAGTGACCATTTAAGTTCCACACGAGTTTAGTTCTGTTTGTGCTTCTGCCCTTTCCTTGACCACCACTGAGCTGCTTTCTGCTGTGCTTTCAGCCCGATTATTGTAGGGGGGAAAAAACGACATGTTCTTTCTGTTCAGAAGATTCGTCTGCAGTATGTGAAAATGCAACGCTGCTGCTGCTGCTAATTTTTTTATGTGTTCTGTGGCTACATTTTCTGTTGTGGGAAGATGGATTGCATCTATTTTCTCCCCTGGTTTCTTGCATGAAGATGTAATAATGGTTCAACTTTTATTCAGTGTAGGGCTTTCACCGGTTATTGTGATTTTGATGATGCTACGAAACACCATCCCATGAACTGCTGTCCCTCTCTCTCTCTCCTCCCTTCTCTCCACCCCTCTGTGGGGGTTTTTGCTTGTCACCCCCGAACTTTGCTTTATTTTGTTTTTAACACAGCCTGTGATTCCACTGCTTGCCTTGCTTGTCTTGTTTTGCAAATCGATACAATCTAAAAATGAATTGGATCAACTTACACACACGTTTGTTCATTTTCCTTTATCTTTTCTGCCCAATGGTTATTCGGTGTGAAATTTATTTCTTGGGACAATTAATACTTGCTCTTATAGACCTTAACATTATCATCTATTGGAGATATAAAGAACCAACTGTGGTTTTTGTGAATTACATTTTAGTAACTCCTGTATAAAGAAATGTTTTCTTTTTATCTTTGTGAATGAGTTGATTCTTTGCCATGTAGCGGAATTCAATATTGATATAATGTTTAAAGTGATGACAAATTTTCAAGTTTGAAAGAGGGGAATTTTCTTGAATTTGAAGGGTGGCTTCTAAATCGAAGTAGACAAGACTTGATGTTTTATGCCATTATCATCATTTGAAGTGACTTAAAATTTCGGATGAGTCGAATTTATCTTGGTTTTTCTCTTTACAACAGTAAAACAATGTTATTATTATACGTCCTGGTATTGATGGCAACTGAGAAGAATTGCATAGCGTCCATTCCTTTTGTAAGAAAAGTTTACAGATTTTCTATTGCGCTCAACATAAAGAGGAGGCTCTCATCACTGTACATTTACCATAATCAAGACAAGAATTCAGGTGGTGCAAAAGAGCAGCATATTATACAAGTAGAGAAGTGTGAAATTGATTATAGAAATCTTCCTGCTTGTTCACTTCCAAGCTCGTTATTATGTTGTCCGAGCGTCATTTTCAAAGCAGAATATTGTTTGATTCTTTATTCGCCCTTGTTGCAGCATCATGAATTATTGGTCTAAATGAAAGATTTGTGAAATGCTACAAGTAGAATCTCCTGAGCTAAATGGGCATTTGCTTGTTTTTTTATGGGGTTTTTTTTTGGGGGGGGGGGGGGGTTAATTCTCAATGTCGTATGTGTCTTTTTTAGATGAAAGTGTCTGGAGGTTTTCAGTTTATTTGCAGTTATTTTGAAACTGTAGAATTTTAATACATGTGTTCTTTTGGTAGCAATATAGATAATAGATTAGAATTTTTGGCTTCTGCCATGCATTTTATCGAATGTAAAAATATATATATGCACAGCTAGTTTCACGAAAGAGTATATTGTCATATTTTGTCCATTTTCTCCGTCAGTAGCCAGCAGATCTCTTACTTACGTTTACACACTTTGAGCTCCCATATTTTTTCAGTAACCGTAGATCTGATTTCGGCTCCACACTTTGATCCTTTTCTCCTTTTTTTATTATTTAGAGCTATCATTAATGTTACTGCAAGTTTTCGCTTTATTTTTTATTTTGTTTTGTATTTTAATACTTTGTTACGTTTCAAAGGTGCTTCCAAATAACGCTGTGCTAGTGAGTATACACGAAAAGTGCAATCAATTTCTTTTGTCATCCGTTGCCGAAGGTTTGGTCTATTTTTTAGCTGCTTTTTCTTTTTCCAAGTTTTGCGTTAACATGAGATGCTTCCATTAGTTGTCGAAGGGGGTTTGGTTCATTCAAAGTGTACCATTCACCAAGTACTTCTGAGCTGAAGATTGTACCTATGAAATGGTGTCATTTTTATTTTTAAAATCTTGTGGCAATTGTTGCTTCACTTAAACATTCATAATTATCGAACAAGCACTTCGAGTTTTGTCAAAGCTGGTTTTGATCCAGTTCTATCTACTGTCTTGACGTTCTTTCTCTGGTTCCTGTTGAAACAGTGTTAGTTTCTCTAGTTTGCTGTTCACGGTATACTAGTGAAGTTGCCGTGATACATGTTCTGGCTATAGCTCAGACTTGGCCACAGATTATGTTTTTCTTGTACCAGGTTCCGTGGATAACTTCTTTTGAATATAACTCCTACTGTATTACCCCCACAATGATAAATGAATTTTCTAGTCGGGAGATGATACCTTGTTCCAAGGTTTTACTACATATTCATTTTATGCAAATCTTATGTAACAAATTGATTATTTTCGCACAATCTTTGAATAGTATAGAACGCTTTCTCAGGAACTTACAGTCTTCTGTGTTTGCATAGAAGCTTTTTTTTTCTATAGATCTGTTGCGAGAATAGGCTTTCACAGATTTATTATTTATTTTTCGTTATTATCCACACAAAAATTGAGACTTGTAAATCCAGTAATATATATAGCACAATGGTGTACAAACTAAGTGAATTGTTTGTTTTAGATATTTCAGTTTTGCTTTTTTTTTCATCTTCATTTTACACCATTAGAAGTATTCATGTTTTTCATTAAAGAGTTTTCAGAGTTTAGATACAGTCAAAACTGTGGAAAATGGCCACCCATTGTCCAACAGAACATTGACCATCTTAGGCAGGAAGACGTCTTACACAGTGTCATCATAATGTTTTAAAAAATGCAAGTGTGGATGGTGGGGGGGGGGAGGGGGGGATGATGGGAAGGGGCCGTTTGTATAAGTCATTGTCTCATAGTGATAACCGTTAGAGTAAGTTCGAATGTATCCTTACTGTTGATTCCGTATTTAAGGAATTTGAAGGGCTTCTATCTTATCCTCCTTACAGAGGTTGGTCGTATACTTGGTGCTTAGAAACACAGAAAAAAAAACTATTTGTTTGGTCCACTTGACTTGCCTGTGGTGCCTTGACAGTGCCATTTTTGCAAGTGTTTGGAGCAAGCACGCTGTGTCCTTATAGATATTGTCATCATTTCCTAAATGTGGCAGCACATTTCACGTATATTGGTCAGGATGGATGGAGTCCAGCATCATAGCTGTCTTCAATTACAGATATGTGTTTCTATTTTGTGAGAAATTTTCAAATAATCAAATGTTCAGTTTGCAGCAACATCCATTGTTTACTTAAGAGTGTAAAAGAATGTTTAGATTTATTTTATTTTTTTTGGGGGGGGGTATATTTAATCTTATGAACCAAATGTTTCATTTATTATTTATTGTTATTGTCTTCGTCTTGGTTTTTTAAAATGATTTCATTGGTTTTATACGAGCATTTCATTGGCACATAGTCTAAGCATTGGCATTTTTCAGTGTTTTACTAGAGGTGCTGCTACATTCTTCTTACTTCTCTGTCTTTCTCTCTCTCGGCATTACACTTCATGTCTGTATATCTGTCCCGTCGTTTTATGCAAGAAAAATTCTGAAATAATGCAAACTGAGCCCAAAAATGTGAAACTATGCGATTCTGTTAATTTTAACAAAGAATGACGAAGGAAAATAATCAGAAATTTTGCCAAAAAATGATCAAATTTAGCAAAATTATGCAGGGTGCATAAAACCACGGGGACAGGTATACCAGCATCTGTCGTGTGGTGGTTAGGCCTGTAGCTGTTGCACGCTCGAGGCCTGACTTCGATTCCCGTGTTGAGAGAATTTTTAAGAATATCTCAGTCTTTCTGCTAGGATGACTGATCCTTCTCCGCCTGGGTTGGTCTTGACAGGCAGGGCCAAAGCCCACCTTCTAAATGATCTTAATTGTGTTGATGGGGGTGCAAAAGCACTCATATGTAAAAAAAAAAAAAAAAGAAGAAAAATTTGGTTATTTTGTCATATCTTTTTTAAAAAATAAATAAACAAAAGTTATGGACCAATGCGTGTGTCCTTCCTGGTAGATAGAATTGGTACTAAAGTCATGAACTGAAGACACAGCTACGTGTTTGAAATATGAAGGAGACATAAGGAGGGGTTGTGGCTCACAGAGCAGGACAGGGACACCTCCAACAGAGAGGTGATGTGGGAAGAGCTCAAGATGGGGACAGCTGGGAAGTCTAACTCTTTGAGGACGAAACAGACACGTTTATGTCCGATCAGTAGCAGGCCAAAGGCCATATTGCAGCACATTTTGAACGTACATGTACAAATCAAATCATGAATTTGAATATGTTTCATAGTAGTATTTTGTTTGCCATTTAAAGTTTCAGATTAAAAGAACAGAATAGGGGGGAAAAATCTGAAGGAATAATGAAATTACCCTTCTTTTTTTGTTTTTTTAGTGCCCAAAAAACAGAACATCTAACGTCGTTATGCGACCAAAACCTGCATCCTCAATGAGTGACACTACATGTTTTGTTTTGGGGGGGGGGTTTTGTACACGCCCTGTAGGATCAAGTTTGTTTGTTTTTTATAAGGTGAATGGGATTTGTTGTTTTGTTTTGTTTTTTTTGCTGCACTCATGTCTTTTATATGTGCTCAGTTATTTGCTACATTTATATTGAAAAAAAAAATTATTTTCAGCACTTTTTTTATGGTGATGGTTGATAGTTGTAAAATGATATGTTGTCTTTTCATATCATGAAAAGAAGATTGCTTAACTCAAAACATAAATTGTGCTGAAAGGTACGAATCTAACAGGGTAAACGTTAGCTTGCTTTCTGGTTAAGAGTGAGCTTGTTTTCTGGTTAAAAGTTATGGGCAGAGTAATGTATGGCCCGCCAGCATGTGTCTTGTGCTACTACATACGTGTTGGGAATTTGATTATGATGGTTTTGGTGGACTTTTTTCCCTCAAGTTCTAGGACCCACAATGTTACATACAAGTACGTTATTGCACTGCTCAGCCAAATTTTATTTTTACAATGGTGTGACTTATTATGGATGTGACTGGTATATTTGTGCTATGCGTGTATGTATATATTTGCCCTCTTGCATAGTTTGGAAAGACTTGATTTTTACCATTGTTTTTGTTTTTGTTTGGAGATGTCTGTTAAGTGTTTTGGTATTGAAATAGTAATTACTGTATAGTAACACCTCTAATATTTTCCACTCCTATGACCTGTTTGTGTTGCAATTGCCGTAAAACTTGTACTAAAACTATTAAAAAGTGGTCGGAAAATAGGATGGAAAGCGTCTGGAGAAATCACACAGTGTTACAACAACTGAGACTGCAAATTGAAATTTTTGAGACGTACACCAACAACTTTATACATGTATTATAACTAACAGTAGAAATGACCACAGTCTTTATTGGGTTTTTTTGCTTGTTGTTTGTTTGTGTAAGGGTTTGAGAAGCAGCCGACTACATACCTGAGAAAACGTACTAAATAATTGGTTCGTTTTCAGATTTATCAACTTAAGTTTCTTCTTGTGATTTACGACTCTCTGTGCTCATGGAGAAACATCTTTTCCTCTTCCTATGGAAGGTATGTGAGGTGTGCCGACAAAAACAGTTACTTATCATTTTCTTCAAGTCTACTGTGTGTTTTATTTTACCATACTTGAAAATTGTACAAACTCTACCTATAAGGTTGATGAATCTATTTCCATAAGGCTAAAATCTGAGAAGTAACTCATTTTATCAGCACACCTCTCATACTGTGCAGGATGGCTCAAATGTTGCTCAAATGTGATCTGTCAGATTGTCCAGAAAGACGTTTGTGTATACCGTATGTAAAGCGTCGGTATAGCTATAGGGTACACAGCTTAAAACGTACTGTCAGCTGTAACGTTCACTATGTGAAGCCCCAAGTCCCGTCTAGTATTTTTACTCTCATTGGTTAATGCATGACACATACCTCAGCAAAGATGTTAAAAAAACTGAGGTCTGAAGGCAGTTCGTTATATCGAAGTTTGTGTGTATAGGCCTATATGTGATGTCATTGGTTGGGATATAAATTCTATCAAAGTCGTTCAAATTCACAGACACTTTTGTGTATGCTATTCATTTCAACTTTTGAGTAGGCCTCTTTTTTTTAAAATTAAACTGGTCTTTGGTTTGCCTTCTAAGAAAAAATGTCCTTAATTTCAGTAATTTTTACAAATTGCAGAATGAACAATTGTTTGGGTTTTTTTGTTTTTTCCCAAAATCATTTTCGTTTTGTCAGTAGGCCCTAATTATTTTGTTTCACCACTCGAACTGTCTAGTCAGATTTGATCTGAAAATTTTTGTTCTTTGTTGAATTGTGCTTCTTTTTTGTAATAATTCAGATTGTAGGCATCGGATGCCTTTTGGTTAGGTTACCCAACTCGTAATTATGAGATTGTGAGTTCGGGGGTTCGAGCCTCAGCTTGGTCCGATGTTGTATCCATGGGAAAGACACTTTATATGAATTTCCCATTTGGCTCAGTCCTTTTAGAGACGGAAGTTAAACTGGAAGGTCCCGTTAAATAACCTAATAGTGTTGATAGGGGCGTTAAACAATTACCTTTTCACCATTTTTTTCTGATCACAAGTATGCTTCTATTGCTATGTTGTACATGTGTTTGTATACCAGTGATGGTTGGATTTGCCTTTCTCCTTCTATGTCATCGCTGTGATACAGGATATTTTATGCTTGTTTGTTTGCCTGTATCTTAACAACATGTGTGATATATGTGGAGAGCTTTTAAACAACTTTTCATGTTCATATACCTAATATTTGGAATTTGTTAATTTTCTTTATAGATTATATGAGAACTAAAAATTATGTTTACAACTTTTGATACCCGGTATGCTTTAAATGATTTCCTGTTCAGTCGGATTAAAAGCAAGCATATCATGTGATTCTTATGTTTTGGTGTTATTGAAAACGTCCATGGAAAACACTTATTGGGGTAAATATTTTTTAAAATCACCACTTCAGAAATATGGTATAATATGTATATATAATTTTTAGTGTATAATAATTATGTATGCATATTCAGTTCATTTACTTTGAAAATCGTTTGGTTTGGGATGGTCAGATTTTATTTCTTTTTTTCTTTTTAGTCTTTTCTTTATGTAATTAATTTTTGGCAGTTAAGAGAAACAATGATGAATGGTAGGCTGTCAGTAGTGCACAAATGTAATCTCTGTCATTTCAATTAGACTTTTCTTGTAACTATGGATCTCTCTCTCTCTCTCTCTCTCTCTCTCTCTCTCTCTCTCTCTCTCGTACTTGTTTCAGTGTCACTGCCATCCTACTTTTCATTTAGCAGCATGTTTGTAAACCTTGTAACAGCGTCTGTGTGGTGAGACAGCAAGGCAAACACAGAATATCTGAATTCGATTCCCGAGTGGGGAGAATGTTGTCGAGTATGTCGCGTCTTTCTGCTGGGATGTTGTATCCTTCTCTGCCGAGTTGGCCCTGAATGGCACGGTCAGACCCGGCCTCCCAAATAATCTGAATTCTGTTGATGGGGGCATAAAAATGCTTACATTTTAAAAAACTTTATTGTACTTTTATTATCATCATCATTGCCTATCTCACCCTGGATTAGGATATATAGGCCACGAAAAAACACGTTCCACCTTTTCCTATCTTGGGCTCGTCGCTTGATGTCGCTCCATGTCTTCTCACGTTTCTGTAAATCTGTTTCCGTGACTCTTCCCCGGGTTCCACGTGGGCTTCCCCTTGATCTTTTACCTTGTGGTTTTATTCTGGTTGGGTTTAAAAATAGGTGCTGTGAACACAACATCTCAACAATAAAAATCATTGCTGCTGGTAGTTTTTGGTTGGTTCTGAGCTGTCCTTTGGGAAGCGTAAAGCTTGCGCACCAAAAAGGCATATTTACATGTAATATTAAGACAACCTGATAAGGTCTTCGAAGAATTTCAACATGAATCCCTTGACATTAAGGGAGAACCTGGTTCTTTACTGACCCAGTTGAAAAGCAGCAATCATAGAGGGCAGCAAATCCTGCAAGGCTTCACAATTATTAGAGGTGCTGAAGCCAAGAGAGAAGCCCTCAAGTTGCACACATCCACAAGTGGAAATATAGCTTTTAATTTAAAAGCTCCAAAACATGGCAAACTCTTCTCTGCTAGAATTGGTCTCAGTCTCATTGGCAACAGCAGAAGCCACAAGTTATCTTAATTCTTATTTCTCCTATTCCTCTTCTAGAAATATTATCTTCTGCAGATGCAGTGGTCATCGTCAGATATTGACGTACGAACCAATATTATTATTCTTATAAGTGGGTGGTTGGCGGGTGCTCTGGTGTGCTTTGCTTCTTCTTTCCTATCAAACGTCTATCGTACTTATCTCCCCTTCTTCTTTTTATGTTTGTTACTCTCTTGTAACACCTCTAATCTTCTGGCGTTCATATGACCTTATGCAGTTGCAAGCGCCGTAAAACCTCTACTAAAACGAAATATTCTTAGAAGTGGTTGGTGGACGTCTATCTTTGTCGTCTCTTTTTGCCATTCAATGTTGGGAAACCTTCAATGTTTCTGTTGTTGTAGTCTTTGTTACTGTTTTTGTCGCTGTTGCTGGAACCGTTACTGCTGACATGTCTGCTATTGTGTGAGTGTGTGTGTGTGTGTGTGTGAGTGTATGTGTGTGTGTGTGTGTGTGTGCGAGTGCCCGGGCGCGCGTGTGTGTGGGGAGGGGGGGGGGGGGGGGGGGTTACCTCTGAAATAAGTTTTTTCTTACGAGCCTGAAACCACCGTACTCTCTAGTAGCATCGCTAATGTTCGGCACTTATATCCCCTATTTGAGTTGTACGTGCCCTAAAACTCTTACTAAAACAATAATTTATTTCGAGAATTGTGATAACTTGTGTGAGAATGAGTTTAATTAAAGAATATTTTGTATTTTTTTATTACTTGGTGTAATCTGAACTCAGAATAAAGCGAGAATGACCTAAACTACCCTAGCATGTTCTCTTCTTCTTGTTGTTGTTGTTGTTGTTGTTGTTGTTGCTGTTGTTATTGTTTGTTTGATTGGGTTGGGATTTTTTTCATCGTGAACAAGAGTTTGTTGTCTGGAAGAGTCCACGACAAAATTGGCGCAGTCTCAAACTGAAGGTCGTGATGCTATCAATTTCAAATGCTTGCAGTGGATGGTTGGCAGGTGTTCTTGTGGTGGTTTGCTCCTTCTTTCCTATCAAACGTCTAGTCTATCGTCCTTATCCTCTCCTCGTGGGTGGTTGGAGGGCACCAACCATTAGTAGGTCTTTTTTCCGTGCTTTGCCTCTGTTGTTTCTGTCTGTCTGTCTCACTTTTTCTCAACACTAAATGGCCGTTATTGTGTCGGTGTGCTTTTCTTTACTCCAGCTGGCAAACAATGATTTTTTTAAAAATATGGACGATGACCATCCACTAGATAGAAAAGAGGGGCAGATTTCTCCGTCCCTCGGGTGCCTCGGGAGGTATCCGCCTCGCTAAACCAGTGGGTACATGAGTACATGGCCGGAGGAGTAGCTGAGAACAGATACTACCTACGAATAATGATTATTATTACCTCTCCTCCTTTTCTTATTTGTTATTCTCTTGTAACACTTTTAATCTTCGGCACTTATATGAACTAGATCTAATAGTGCTACAAGTGCCGTAATACTCTTACAAAAACTAAACTAAAAGCTTTGTAGAGTCCTTAGCTTGTAGAGTCCTTAGCTTATTTCTGTTTGACTGTTGGAAGAAATCCTGCTTCGGCTATTTGAGAAGATTAGGACAACAAAGAAATGTTACCCGTGACTGGAAATATGGAAAGAAGGTCACCTTATTAAGCTCCCGAAGAAGGATGAAACTGAGTTATTGTGGGAAGTACAGGGGAATAACACTTCTTCTCACTTCTGTCAATACCAGGTTCCCAGCCTGACAAGGCACAGTGACACTAATAAACAATGTGTGGTCCATAATAAGAGATATGGGCTCAACTTGTACTTTATCATTTTGGAAACTTTATTTAACAAATACATGTCAGTGTTTTATATGATGTGATGTGGGCCAATGGCCATAACCCAACGATACACTGAATAAACTTACTTACTCAGCCAATACTAGGTAAAGTATTTTACAGGGTTATTTTGATTCTTTTTGAGCGTATGAAAGAAATTGTGGACATACACGTCAGAGAAGGCCAGGCTGGTTTCTAACAACTGTTATGGGTGGTTGGTGGGTGCTGTTGTGTTGTATGCTCCTTCTGTCCTATAGAACATCTATCGGCCTTACCTGTCCTCCTTTTTTGTATTTGTTACTTTCTTGTAACACTTTTAATTTTCGGCACTTCTATGACCTTAATTACTGCGTTGCATGTGCCGTAAAACTACTAAACTAAGACAGCCGTTCATGCGTCGACCAGATTGCAACCTCAAGAATTAATAGTTGTACAGCAGTGTTTGGAATGGACACCCCTTCTGATCACTTTCGTAGATTATGACTAGATCTACGAGAAAGCGTTTGACAGCGTCGACCGCACAGCAATATGGAAAGTACCGCGACATTATGGTGCAGGTGAGGTTGATATGTAACATATAGGCCACACGTATATTTATGATACATGTATATGTATTATGTATACTGTATATAAATTTCCAACATAACAAAACAACGCATGTATGTAGAGATCATCACAACAAGTTTACCTCGTATACTTTATTTTTTTTTTTACATTACAACAGAGGCACTAGCTAACTTATGATACAGCAACGGTTCACGTACAAGACAGAACATCAAGGTTTGTGGTGGTGATGGTGATAGTGGGGGTGGCGGTGATGGGTGGTGATGATGATGGTGATAGTGGGGGGTGATGGGGGTGGTGGTGATGGTGATGATGATGCTGCTGGTTGTGGTGGTGGTGGTGGTGATGATGATGGTGGTGGTGGTGATGATGATGGTGATAGTGGGGTGGTGATGGTGGTAGTGGCAGTGGAGGTGATGCAGGTGGTAGTGGTGGTGGTGGTGA